TATGTTATGTTTTCCCAGTTTATTTTATTTTTAGGCTAGTGAAGTTGTAGTTTTTTTTCTTAATATTCTGAATTTTTATCATCGTAGATCTTTGTAATTTAAATTAAATAGTTTAAATTCAATACTGCACATTTTTTTAGATAGACTTGAAGTTTTATTGAGTTTTTTCTCTCGAAAACCTTACTAGTTTACATTGAATTGCATTACCTGTTTATAAAAGTTATGTAAGTTTTTTTACTTAACAAAATATAATATGCCAAGTGTAAATTTTGCGCATAAGCTCCACTTTTAGCGCCGAAAAGGTATTTATATGGCATTCGTGTAACTATTTTTATCAATAATAAAAACGGCAAGAAAACAAGTTTGTTATAGTAATATAGTATAATAATGTCTTAAATATATTAAATATTAAGATAAACATTATTTTTAAACTTTATATAAAAAACTAAATCAGATTTCATTATTTTATATATATATATGTATATATATATATATATATATATATATATATATAAATATATACATGTATATAAATCTCTCTCTCTCTATATATATATATATATATATATACAGGGTGGCCCATAAGTCACTTTACATTTTAAAAATTAAATAACTTTTTCTTAAACGACTGTATTTAATTAATTCTTTTTTTATGACAAAGTTTAGAGTCTGTAAGTTAGTTCTGACTTAGTTACGAAAGATAATGTCTCTTAAATAGCCTCCATTCTCGTCTTCACAATGTCAAGCTCTTTTTAAGCTATTCTCCACAACTCTTCTTAACATCTGAGGTTGTAGGGAAAGAATTTCCTGTCGTATGTTTGCCTTAAGATCTTGAATAGTTTGGGGCTTATTTGCGTACACTTTGTCTTTAAGATATCCCCAAAGTCAAAAGTCTCGTGCTGTCAAATCAGGAGAACGTGGAGGCCATTCAAAATTGGATTTAAGAGAGATTATCCAATCCTGAAACATTGCAGTTAACAACTGCATTGTGGCTCTAGCGGTATGTGCAGTTGCTTCATCTTATTGCCACTAATACCCTGCCACGTTTGCTAACTGAGGTTGAACAAAATTCGCTAGCATGTCTTGATATTTTTCAGCAGTTACAGTCACAGCATTTTCATTTACATCTTCAAAGAAGAAGAGCACAATAACCTTTTCTGATGTTACTTCACACCATGTTGTGACTTTAACTGGGTGTAATGGACTTGCATGAACTTGGTGTAGATTTTTCGGTGCCCCAGAATCCGATATTCTGCTTTTTCACATGTCCGTTCAAATGGAAATGAGCTTCATCTCCCATGATCAACTTGTGAATAAACTCATTTTCATTTCTTGCAGTTCTCTGAAACCTGACAGCATAATTTAGTTGTTTCTGAAAGTCTGGTGGTTGTAAAGATTGCACTAATTGAATCTCGTAAGGGTACATGTCCAAGTCTCTTTGAATGCGCTGCAGAGAACTCCGTGAGATGCCAAGTTCTTGAGAATGCCTTTGAGTGGATGTGGTTGGGTTCTCTTCAATGCCATGGCTCGCAGCTTCAGTATTTTCACGTGTACGTTCTGAACGATCTTGTCCACTTCTAGTCCTATCATTTACAGAGCCATGCTCTTGAAAACGCGTCACTAAGTTCATTATTGCAGGCCTACTAGGGAGATGTTGAACATTAAAATGGCGCATATACGATCTTTGTGTTGCAACAATTGACCGTCCATTTTCAAAGTAAAATTCACTTATCTTCACTCGTTGTTCTATTGTAAACGTATCCATACTAAAAAATTTCAAAGATTATATTTTTTAATTCTGAAAAGAGAAATAGAAATATATTAATAGAAAAAAGTTATTTAATTTTTAAAATGTAAAGTGACTTATGGGCCACCCTGTATATATATATATATATATATATATATATATATATATATATATATATATATATATATATATATATATATATATATATATATATATATATATATATATATATATATATATATATATATATATATATATATTATATGTTATATATTATTATTATATATATATATATATATATATATATATATATATATATATATATATATATATTATATGTAATATATTATTGTATACTGATATTTAATACATTATTATATAATATATAAAAAAAAAATGCTTTGACTTTAATATTTTTTTCTTGTTTGACAATATCTACTTCAGTTTTGTTACATGATGGTCACATAAGTAACAAATGTTGCGTTTCTTGTATATAACAATATCTAATTAAAAAATTATAGTAATTATAAAAAAGTTATTAGTCTATATGTCATAATTTTTTGGCAATAAAAGCATATATTTTATGCGCACATCTGTTATGCGCACATCTGTTATTTAGGTGTCCCATAAGTAACTTCTCAATATCCTCTAAATAGCAACTCATTGTAAGTAAATGAAGGCATTGATTTTCAAATAAAATTTTCATTTAGATTGTTTTATTATTTAAGAAATTTAAATTTGCATTTTTAAATAAAGCTATAAAAAATTTTCATAGCTTATATACAAACAGACGTTTAGCTTAATAAAACATTTTGACATTGTCATCAAATTTTTGTTTTAGATAATGAATGAAAATGTCTATAATAGTAAGGGAAATTTATATTAATAGTAAGGAAAAAAAAAGTGTAACTCAAGAAACACAGTTAGAATTAAAGTAAAGAATTGACAGTTACTGAAAGATAATATATAAAAAGATGATGTTTTATTTTTTATTTTAAACATCTTTATTTCCAACAAGGCTGCAAACAACCACTATTAGAGTTTGGAAATTTCTGGGAGAGAAAAGGTGAAGTTTATAAAGTAAAATAACGTTTAACAGACAACATATAAGATTGCAAATTATATGAATCAGGAAAACAAGATGAAGGGAGCGAAATCCAAAGAGCTGATTTTCAAAGAAAAAATCTAGATGGCGATGGCACAAGAGACACAAGCAGCACCTATTATAGTATTTATAGAAATAAGAAAGAGAAGAAGCAACATTATGATGTTGTGACAATGATTGAAGGCTGCAAGAGCAAGTCAAACTATGCTTGCAATAAGTTTTTACTCTTTGTCTTAGAGAGAAAGAGTATCAAAGATCTGCTCCAGGTATTGGTATCCAGGCAACAGTATTTCACAAGAGAACGGATTTAAGATTTAATGATAAAGAAAAGGATTCGAAGTACAAAAGTGTTGGCCTTTGAGGATGACTATAATAGTGCAAACAGAAAGAAATGTTTCAATAATTTTCCTAGACACCATTGAAAGCAAGCTAATGAAGAAGACCAGCATGCCATACATTACTGAAAGCTTTTGATCAATAGTCATTGCCTTACCGCCTCCATCTAATGCACAATAGAATCTTTCAGTTAAAGCAGTTAGCAAGTTATTAGGCTCAAAATAAGATAATTTTTTTATTAAAGATTGAAAGGCCTTGTTAATAATAAGACTCAGACTGGGATAAGATCAGGGATAAGAGTGTTATCCTGAGTTTATTAAAAAAAGAACCATAAGTGCCATTTTTTTGTTTTACAGCAAGCAGCAAAACAAGATTCAGTAAAGCATTTTTGAAGTAGTTCAGAGAATTGAGAAGAATTCTGAGAAATCTTTTGTAAAATTATGATAGGAATGTTGTCCCGGACCCATAAAAGAGTTTAATTGAAAAAATGACTTAAGAAACAGAAGCTGGAGTGGTTTGGATGTCTAACAATGTTACCTGTTTTGCTGCAATGACAGGAAGAGTATGGCCATTAGATTCAAAAGTCGAGTTAAAGGAAAAGTTCTTTGCAAATAGTTCTGTATCCTTGGGAGAGGTTATAAAATCAGACCCATGGTTTATGGGCCATGAATAAGAGATAGAATATTCAACATACCTTTGTTAATGACAAAAAAATAATCATACTAAATATGTTTGTTTAAAATATAAAATATGTTTGTTTTAGATGTCAATTACTGGAGTACTTCTCTTGTGTGGATTATTTGTTGCTGCCCTTTCTTCAGTCTTGGGAGGTTTAGTGGGTCCACCACGTGTTTTACAATCTATTGCAACAGATAATGTCTTATCAATACTAAAACCATTGGAGAAAGTTGTAAGTCTTTTACAGCATATTTATTAGATGATGCATTTTTTTTTTTTTTTTTTATAAAATCATTTGTATTTTGTTTATGAGATGTTGCAATTGTATTCTTGATAACCAAAAGTTAAAACTAAATAAAAAAAGATAAATTGAATCAGGTTTATGAAAAATATAATTTAATAAAAATTATATGAATAAATTATCAAGTGTTGTTTCCCTCCTTCTCATGCACATCTGTTGTCTTAACATTCATTAAAAATAAAAAACTTCCAGAAGTTACTAAGACAAAATTTTTAGAAGGAAATCAAAATTGTTGGTCTAACAAAAACCAACAATTTTGATTTTTAATTTTCAACAATTTTTATAACAAAGACCAAAAATGTTGTTGTTAAGTTATATGGGTATAATTGTTTAAAAAATCTAAAATCATTATCAGGTCTAAAATGGATTTTGAAATATCTAAACAAATTTTTAAAGTACTTAATTTGATGTGTAAACTTTTTAAACTAATTGCTTTTTTTAGAAAGGTATCAATGAAGAACCTCACAATGCTACGCTTACAGTTGCTGTAATTGCTTTTGTTTTTATATTCGTTGGTAATATGAATACTTTAGCTCCTATTGTCACAATGCCTTTTCTAATGACATATTCTGCTGTTAATTATGCCTATTTTGCTTTGTCAATGAGCTTTGAAAATTTAAAAAAACAAGGTTTAAACACAGCTAATTATGGTGCAATGTCACAAATAGATCCATTCTCTCAAAAAAATTCTAATAGCCTAATCTCACCAACAGATACTAATGAAGCATCCTTACAGCCATCTTCTAATAGTATGGCGTCTCAAAGTAAATCTAGTTCTGAATATTCACTGATTTTATCAGAAACTGTTCGAAAAGAAAGTTTTGCTGCTAATAGTAAGTCATTTAGTGAATTAAACTATATGTATATGGATGTGTGTATGTAGTAATGTATGTTTTAATGTATGTATGTATTTATTTATGTGCGGGGCTCAACAAATTAACGAATGTGCAAGCATTTAAAATATAAAGCATAAGGCAACAGCTGCGAACAAGCTAAATTTTTCTTGGTAATATTTCAACCTGTTTTTGCACAGATCGTCATCTGACTTAAAATATAATACAAAAAACTATTACAAATATTACATAATTACTAGTGCAGTTCAGACAAAAAATTAAAGTTCTGTAGACAAAAAATGAAAGTTCTGTAGACAAAAAATTAAAGTCAACCAATTACGGAGACACTTTGATATTTATGTTCCTTTTGACCTATAAAACAAAACTATGTAATATTATTGAAATCAGAAAATATTTAGAACTGTCTCATGGGACCTAAAGTTTGCAGATTTTTCATTTTCGGGCTTGATTTTTAATATATTTACTTTTGTACCTATTTCCAAGAGCTAATTAGTGATTATTATTATTACCTGCAAAGAATTTGTATTTAGTATTTATTTACTTACTTATTAATTACCAAAGATCATAGATCACAAATAAAAACAAAACAAACACAATGGTGGAATCATGACTGCAGACAGCAAATTTAAAACAAATTTAAAATAAATGAAATAATGCAAAACATTTTTTATTTACTGACTTATAGTTACCAAAGATTAGATTATAGAACTAATGTAAACCAAGTGGTGGTTGGCAGACAGCAATAGTGGCTAAAACAAGATCAAAAACTTACATTTATGTAAGTTTTTGATCTTGTCCAGAACCACATTTTAGTGGCAGAGTTTTGCCCACAAGTTTGGAAGTTTTAAGAATATGTTTTTTCCATCATAAAAAGAACAGTCAAACTCTAAAAGATGTCATAAAAATTGTAGTCCAGCAGTTGTGCAAGATCTGGGCTATAGCTAGAATTCCAACTGATGGACATTAAAGTATTGTTTGTAAAACTGAAGCTTTATTGGGAAGATACAGAAATGTTTTAAACAACGCGGTGGGCCAGCATAGCAGGTAAAAGAAGATTTTTTAAACTCAGTAAATTATCTTTTTGATATTGCTCACCATGATTCATTGAAGCTGATAAAAATAGAAGATCAAATATTTCTTGCAGACCAACATTCAGAAACAAAATATGCCAAGGGAGGTGTAGATAGAATTTTGGCAAAAAAAGAAAAAAGTAAAGAATCAAGAATGCAAAAGGAAGTTCAACGTGGTATCAAAGAAGAGGAGAGAAAGCAATCAGATAGTTCATCAGATAGTTCAAGCGAAGCATACAATGCTGTGTCTAGCGATGAAGACTATATGTTTTAACAACATAACAATTTTGTTAAGGTACATTGTCAGAAGAAATCTCCATCTACTTCTAAACCTGCAAAGATTTCTGCTTTAGATGTTATTCCTTCAGCACGTGCATCTGCACTTGATTGTACAAATGTAAGTGACAGAAAAGCAGTATATATTAGGGCGGGTCAAAACCATACTTTTTTTAAAATTTTGACAAGCAGCACTATGTGGAGTTTTTGAATTGGTATATGACCAATTACTATGTAGACTTAATTTTTTTTTTTACACAAACCCCTAAGGGTTGTACCACACACCCTAATTTTTCCACAAAATTTTTTTTGTAAAAACCAGGGGTGTGGAGTCGTAAAAAAAAAGTAACGACTCTGGCTCCAACTTCAGTTATTGAAATTTTTTGAGTACAATTCCAACTCCAACTCCAAAGCAAAATTTTGAAAAATTCTTTGAATTCTTTAAAAAATATTGCGCGATAAGTTAAATTTTTTTTTTTGACAAATTTATGCAATGTTCTTTGAAGTTTAGTATGAACATAAGGTTAATTGAATATTTTGTACATACACGTGCAATACCAAGAAATATTACTATCGGAGTTGCGATATTTTTTAGCGACTAAAATTGTCGCAACTCCGACTTGGCCCACAGCCCTGGTAAAAACTTTTGTAAAAAAAAAAATTTTTTTTGTTTTATTACGAAGTATACATTCTTTTAACAAATGAACTTTGAGCAAAAAAAAAATTGTTGCTCAATTTCAGAATTATTAACTTCATGCCTTAAATAAAGTTACAAAGTATGATATCATGTCAGCATAAAAACTTTTGCTATGCTACTATGTAATTTTTTAGTTTATTCTATTTGTTGCATTTTAGTCTCTATACATTGTATATTTAATGTTTGTGTATATACTTGTCTACTTTTCTCTATTTTTTAGTAATATTTCTCTATTTTTTAGTAATTAAAAATAAAATATAACTAATAGTAAGCAACATATTGTATCATTTCATACTCGCAGTAAAACTGACAACTTAACATTTGGACAAGGTTCTAAATTTCCAACTGCAATCATTCCTACAAAAAGAGATGTTAAATATTGCTATAATGTTCACAGAAATGAAGATGCTAAAGGCAAAGGATCAAGTTCTGTTCATAAATGTTACAGATTAGTTACCACTGAAATTGAAAATATTTGGCGTAAATTCATTTTTCCAACAATTGAAACAGAGGGAGTATTCTCAAAAGTATGTAGATTAATGGAAAAATTCAATTTAAATAAAACCTCAAGACTTAGAAGAAATGCTAATTTTTATGACAAATTGAAAGCTTTTGACAACATGTTTGATATATGTTCATGCAATTGTTATGATTTAGGATTAGAAAGAGAGAAATGCAGATGTAATATTAAAGTGCCAATAAAAGACTGGGATGTGTTTGTTGGGCAAAAGAAACGCACAAATCAACTTGGACTACTAGATCGTGCCTACACATCTACTTTAAAGAAAACTGAAACTAGAAAAAAAAATTTACCGATGACAATTTTTATGAATCTGAGGATAATATCATATTAGATGAATCTAATAATGAATATGACAAGCTATATGACTCTGATGTCATAAAAAAAATGTAATCAAAATAGGTTTCATTACAATGAACTAGCAATCATAGCAGATTGTTATCGTGCCAGTTGCAGAACAACTGCTGCTATTGTCAATGCTGCTCTAAAATACATTGGTATACTAAATGAATCAAATATGCTTGATAGGAAAAAAGTAGAAAGAGAAAGACTTCGTGTTGGACAAAAAAATGTAAATGAGAAAAAGTACGGAAACTTGAAATTACAATGTATTGGTTTTGATGGAAGAAAAGACAATACAATAACAACTGCAAGGATAATTAAAGAAGAACATATAACAATTGGTAGATAACCAAGCAGCAGCTATATAAATCATATACCTGCATTGGTAATAAATTTTTATACATTTCTACAGAAAAGCCAACCAAAGAACTTATTGACTTGGTAATAATACAGTAATAATACAATGCTATGTATTATTACTGTATTATTACCAGGATGGTTTCAAATCAAATCAAATTATTTGGAAATCAATGGCGCTCAAAATTTTTGGTATCTTGCTTAATTAATTAAAAATGTAGTTATTGATGTAAAATACAAGGAGGTAATAGAGCAAGTTTTGAAGCAAAACTCGTATTTTTCTAACCCAGAGAATTTTTTATTGGCGATGATAAGTGATAAAAAAAAACAAGTTAGAACTACAGCCGTTCAAAAGATACTTAAATCCAGGAACACTAGCAAGTCCAATAGACATTTTAAACTTCCTACAACATTAAATCTTTGAGCCAAAGATTACTGTGAATTAATAAATTGGGACATCGAAGAAGTTTATTCGCCACCTTTACTGAATGATTATTCAAACGAAGATATTATGAAAGCCAATGACAGTCCATTAAGTATCCCAAAGTATTCTTGTCATAATCAGAATATGGAAAGAATAGTTGGAGTAGTCACAAAGGCATCAGAAAATAGATATGGCTATAAAAAAGGTCACAAATTTGTAATAAACCTGTTGGAGTCCAGGGAAAAAATGCCTAAATTTGATTGGAAAGCGCAATGGAAATAAGACATTTATAAAAATATACATTTTTTTATAGCCTATAAAAACTTTTTATTCTATTTTTTTTTTATTTCTAAAAGTTTTGTTTCTTTGCTTAAAAAAGGTAATTTATGAGCAGAAAGCATTTAAAAGCTTATATCCCTTATTTAACACCTTGTATCCCTTATTCTAATAAAATACATAAGCAGTATTTTAGTAGAACATTTTTGTGGTATATCTAAATCATTACAATTATATAAATAAAACAATTATAAAATAATTATATATAAAAGTTGCGTATTGCCCCTTTTTCTCTAAAATTCCAAAAAATCCGATTTTGTGTGTGACCCATACAGAGGCTAGCACAGACCTAAAAATTGGTATGCATCCTATACGCATATATAGGAACCCCCCACAATATGCTGCTTCTTAAAAAATTTTTTTGACCCGCCCTAGTATATATCCTAACAGCAGCCATCCAAATGTATGGTGACAGTGATATATCAAAACTACCAATATCTTGTAGTAGCATTAGAAGAAGCCGAATGAAGCAGCGTTTTTAACATTATGCTTACGTAAAGGCATCCTTTAGTTCAAAGGGACCTTTGGTTATTCATATTGATGGAAAACTTTTGCCAGCAATTTCAGGTGGGCCTGAAAAAGTTGATAGTCAGGCGAATCTAGTTTCAGGATTAGGAACAGAAAAACTTTTGGCAGTTCCTAAAGTGGCACAAGGAAGTGGTGAGGTTATAGCAAATACAACAATGGTTACCATTTCTGAATTGCAAAATCAAGTAGTTGCAATTTCTTTCGACAAATGGCATCAAAAACAGGTTGACTAAACAGTGTGGCACAATTTTAGAAAGAAAACTTGAAAAAAAATTTGTTCTGGTTGGCAAGTTGTCGATGATAGTGCAGAAAGAGGAAATGCTCTAGCCACTGCATTTAATTCTACAATAACAAAACAAGAAGAGCAAAAACTATCTATTTCAAATGGTGGAAAGTTACCAGCGAAGATTTCCCAATCCAAAAAAATCA